CTCCTCATTCGTCGTCAGCGCGGGAGACACGGGAAAAAGTCCTCACGCATCACCAGCAAACCTGCGCATTTGACTGGCGCTCTGTGGGTTTCTGAGCCCTTCCGAGAATATCCAAACGTGGCAGTTAGCGGCAAGCTTGCTTGCTTACTTCTCCATGCAGAAAGGCAAGAGGACCGGCCATCCTGCTGCTTCTCCCCGCCGACAAATCACTACCTCATAGTTAAAGGACATCAGGAATGAAAATTTGGAGGAAGAAAACTGCTCAGCCTCTCCAGCTGAGGATGACCACCATTGCCATCTCGTACATTGCTCACACGCCTCTTTTCCACGCATAGGTTTTGTTAAGAAACGTCACTGTGACCCTGTTATATAGGCTGCTTTTTACTGAACATTTTAACACGAGTTTTCCCCCATGTCAACATTTTATGAAATATGATTTTTAGTGGCTTCCTGTTTCCTTGGGAGCTTTGTTTTTAGCACAAAACCTGCCAGGAGTCCCAGCAGTTTCGCAAGGGCCGTCTCCGTGTCTGTAGTAGCTGGTGAGCTTTTAAAGAATTTGTTTTTTTTGTCATGAAATGTAACACGATACAGAAAAGTTCGTAAAACACACGTGTCCACCTTAGTGACTTACAGAAGGAGCACTTGTGACAAACGCAGACCGACGCCCCCACGCTACAGCCCCCGAAGGACGTGCTTCCCCAGTGACAGCCTTTCCCTTCCTGTCTGCGATCACTGTCCTGACCCCTGGCAATTCGCTGCCTCGCTTTTTGTTCCAGGTTTGCTACCCAGTGAAATATCCCTGAACAGTAGTGTTTAATTTTGGTGAGTTAAATTTTTGCGCGTGGTGTCTGTTGTGTCTGCCCCTTTTCCTGGACAGCGCGTCTTAAGACTCATCGGTGTCGTTCTGTGGCACGACCAAACCGCAGCTCGTTCACCCACGCTGCTGCTGACACCCCTGGGGTCGTCTCCGCCTGTGTAGACCTGCGCCCACCAACAGGCCCGTGTGTATTGCTGGTGCACGGCAGCACTTATTTCTGAGGTGCCTGCACCTTGGGGGAGAATCGCCAGGTCGCTGTGTATACGTTAATCTGTGTTCAGCTTCTCTCAGTGTCACCAAACTCTTTCCAAGAGTGGTTCTGTCAACTTACGCCCCTCAGCAGTGAGCGAGCATTCTGCCGCTGATGTCCGTGGTGGTGTCGGACTTCTGAATATTTGTCAGTCTGATGAGTGTGTAGGATATCACATCACTACTTTAATTTGCATTTCCCTTTTTACTAATGAAGTCGAGTAACTCTTTTCTTTGTTTTTTATCTCTTCCTTCCTTCTACTCTTCCTCCCTCCCGCTTCCTCTCCCTCACCCCCTTTTCTTTTCCCATTTGATTTCTTTTATGAAATGCCCATCTGGTAAAATTCCTTTTCTTGTTTAGTCATTTGTCTTATTGATTTGTAGTAGCTCTTTACATATTCTAGATCTAAGCTCCTTGTTGGTTACGTATGTGGCAAAAATCTTTTCCCACTTGGTTGCCCTTTCACTTCCCTAATGGTGCATTCTGATGACTGGAAGTTTTTGATTTTAATGTAGCACATTTTGCCTATTTTTACCTTCATGGCTAGTGCTTTTCGTGTTTTACCGGGAGAAGTTTTCCAGTGAAGAGTTTGAACGGCAGAGTTAGTGTCTCAGAGGACGTGCATCCATGGGATCAGAGGTGGAGTTGGTAGAGACTGGTGCTGGGTGCGTCCCGCTGCGGGTGGACGGAAGCCAGGACCCGCATCCTCAGGTGTGGTAGCTCCAGCTTCTCTTGCGGCACTTAGAGGGGATCACGAGGTCTGAGCGTGGTGGGTTCAGGACGCTCGGGAGGAAGAGCTGCCTGTTCCCCCATCCCCTGGCAGGCTGCGCCCCTATTTCTGTGCTGGGTCTCCCTTATTTGGGGTAACCAACCCCCAAGCTCGTAAAGCCCTGTGGCATGTTCTGCAGAAGACAGAGTCAGGATCTTTAAAAAATATGTTGGACTCTAACAATAAAAGATGTGGAATTAACACTTCCTCCTCACCACGGTATGTTGTCTCACGTAATCCTCAGGGCTCTTCAGATGTGATCAAAGAAGGGAGGGTGAGTGATGCCATTTGACCTGAAAGTCTTTCATTTTTAATTTTTTTCTTTTTTTTTTGGAGACAGAGTCTCACTCTGTTCCCGGGGCTGGAGTGCCGTGGTGTCAGCCCAGCTCACAGCAACCTCAAACTCCTGGGCTCAAACGATCCTTCTGCCTTGGCCTCCCGAGTAGCTGGGACTACAGGCATGCGCTACCATGCCCGGCTAATTTTTTCTATCTATTTTTAGTTGTCCAGCTAATTTCTTTCTATTTTTAGTAGAGATGGGGTTTCGCTCTTACTCAGGCTGGTCTCAAACTCATGAACTCGAGCGATCCTCCTGCCTGGGCCTCCCAGAGTACTAGGATTACAGGTGTGAGCCACCGTGCCTGGCCTATTTTTTTGATTTTTAGTGTTAATCATCTCTTGGTCTTCCTCTGTCCTTCATTCACTGGCTGCCTTCAATTTTCATTGTTCCCCTTTTATTATATTTTCTTTGATTTATGATTTTTTCAATAATTGGCAGCAAAACGCGCTGCCTGCCACCGGCGTGGCCGTTGTGGAAGGAGCCCAGCCCCGTGTGGAAACGGAGGCGTCTGCCCCCCAGGCGCCTGCCGCCTCCCGATACAGCATCCCGTGGCCTTGTGCTCTGAGTCGCGGACCACTTTGAGTATCTGGTGGACACTGCAGTGGGAGAAGAGACGCTGGCTGGGATTTATGCTCCCCCAAAGGGTCCCCAAACTCCAGGTTAAAAACTGCCCGAGTGGCTCTCCCCGTCCACTGAGGATGGAACTCGGCGGCTGCCCGTGGGGAGGTCCCGGGGTGGCGTGTCTTCAGCCGTGGTCCTCGCCGAGGGGCTCTGTGTTTTGAAACCCACGGTCTCTGACATTGGGGCGCAGGACGCTGCTGCGTGAGTTACTTCCTCAATCCTAATCACCAAACTCCTTTTGCTGACCGTTTAAAATAACCTGTCCTTCCAAGGGTACGAAGCCCCAGGCAAGGGTGACAGGCAGACCTGCATCTGGGGACACGTCACAGGCTCAGTTTTATTCGACGTTGTCAAGTTCAGGGCCACATGGACACTTCATGTTAGAAGTAGAGCGTGAGCGTGGATCCTGCTTTTTGCTTTATCGTGACCTTCGCTTTCCTCTTCCCTGCGCGAGTCCAGACAGCCCCTCCCCGGCGCTCTGGCTTCCTTGCGCGCTCCGCCCGCTCTCCTCCCGCCGCTCAGACGTGGGTCTTCTCCGAGTGCAGCTTCGTTGTCGCTCTGCCCTTGGACACGCGGGCGGCCCTCGTGTCTCGTGTCTCCGGGAAACAGGCTCTAACCCCTCAGCTTCCCACTGAAGTTCTTCTGGCCGGTCCCTGCCGGCCGCCCAGCCCTGACCCAGCCCCGTCCCGGCGCTGTGCTCTCCGCTGCGGCGCGGTGTGTGCGCTGCGCTTCTCCCCCAGCGAGGCCTTCCTCTCTCCAGGTGTTCAGAGCCTGTCTGCCCGCCGAGACGCAGCCCCGATGTGGCTGTCTGTGAAGCACGTCCCAGGGCTTGCCAGCCAGAAATAGCCACTCCCGCCCCAGATTCCTTCTTAGGGGCCGCATTTTCCTGCGGGGTTTCATGGGGCTAGAGGGGAAGGAGGCTGGACTGAACCCCCCAACCCTGCCAACCCCTCAGCTGTGGAAGGATCGTTCTCTTCGCTGAGGGCTGCTACCAAAAAGCCTTTCACATCGCCCTGTGAGCTGCAGTCGGTGTTTATTCCGAAAGGAGGACTTGTTGGCTCCCAGGCTTCAACTTGACCCTCGGACGTCAGATTGATTTCCCGGGTGCATGCACCAATCTACACTCCTACAGCGGCGTGACGGCGTTCCACTTCTCCACGTCCTTGCCGTCCCTTGACATCGTCTGACTTTCATTTTTGTCCGTGTCTTGGGTATAAAATAATGACCCGCGGATCTAATTTGCGTCTTCGCGTACTCGTGTGTACTGGGCCTTCGTGCGCCGTCTCCCGCGCCACGTCTCCGTTCCTTCTGCCTGTCCGTCTTTTTCGTGTCTAGGCACTCTTCGTACGTTCCGATACCCTTTGTAGGTTGACAGCAGAGCCCACGTCTTCCTGGTTCCTTCTGTTTCTCCCGCCAGCTCCGGGGTGTGCGTGGGCCCGGGTGGCGCCATGCTTATTCCCACCCGCAGGACGGGGCGGGACTGGGAGAGCACAGTGTCCTCGTAAAGCCTGACCTGAGGGGCTCGTGTCATTCCTGCTGTCACCCCGTTGGCAGGGCTGAGTTCTCTGGGCGCACCAGGCCGCAAGGGAGGCTGGAAAGTGGAGCCCGTGCTCTGTGCAGCCATTTACCCAGCAGAAAAGTGGAAGAGAATGATTCGGAGACCACCGATGGATTGAAAGACTTGGAAGGGTTTAGCCCCGAGAAGAGGCTAAAGAAAATACAATTTTCTCCAAATTGTCTTCCAGTAAACCTTTTTCTGATAAATGTTACTATCATTCATATCCTTAAAACTTCACTTGAAGAATTCTTAGTGTTATAATTTGCTAAACCTGCTTTCATGTTTGCTTTAGAAATGCACATATGGTTACCAGAGAAAATACAAAGAGAGAGTAATAGGAAAGAGTTGGCTCTATAGCTACCGAAATGAAATTTATAATACATGTATGTAGTTCATCAGCCAGATAAAACGTCACGTCCATTATTTTGGGGAATGTTGTGGGAGACAGACTCTCCGTCACCTAGTACTGACCTAGGCCCCTAACATCCGTTTTTGTCAAGTTCGTCTTCATCTTAAGCTGCAGCGCACAAGTTGGATGATGCGGGTTTTGAGCCGGTGGCCGTGGGAGCTGTGTTGGTTTGAGATATTACGGGTTTCCTCCCTCTGTCGTCACCCGGCAGCTAATGGCAACCTGTGATTCCGCAGGTACGGCGTAAGCCCCGAGAACATCATCCTGTACGGCCAGAGCATCGGGACGGTCCCCACGGTAGACCTGGCCTCACGGTACGAGTGCGCGGCGGTGATTCTCCATTCCCCTCTGATGTCGGGTCTGCGCGTGGCTTTTCCAGACACCAGGAAAACATACTGCTTCGACGCTTTCCCCAGGTAAGTGCATGCCCGCGCGGTGAGCGCCGAGTCGGCCGGTGAGCGAGTTCGGACCTGACGCTGCGGTCCCCTGTGTGCCACTGGTGAATACTCACCGGTGCAGCTGTGCTCGGGGCCCGTGCCGGGCACCGGGGGGCCGTGGGGGGCCTGGGACCCACGCTGTCCACAGACCTTGTCCTCACCGTGACAATCTCCCAGATGTGGCGTGAGGACCTGGAGCACACTGAGGCCTGGGATTGACTGATTCCGCTGTGCTGTGCGGGATTTAAAAAAAGAAAAAGCACCTCCGTGTCCTAGAGGAAATAGTTCAGAATTCGTTCATGTGTCCAGAGGGACACGCATCGTCAAACCACAAAGACCACACGCAGTGTGTGGCGAGGCAGTTGGCAGTGGTCCGCACACTCCGGTCAAAGCGACAAGCAGGCGCGATTCTGAAGCTTCTCCCACCCCTGAGCCGGGCAGTGCAGGGGGGGAAGTGCCCGCCTGGTTAATCCTCCTGTGAATAGACCAAAGCGCTAAAGCGAGTCACCGGGCGGCCGGCCTCTGCTCTTCGGTAAGTGGCCACAGGGACGGTGTCATCAGGGAACACACCCCCTGCCACCCGTCCCGTCCTGCTCTGCCACTTTGACCGGAAGCCCTCACCCCTGCAGAGGCGCCGCACCCCCAGGGGAAGCTGAGGCGCGGGGAGCCCGCTGTGAGCCTGGGGCCTCGCCCGCCGGCCCGATGGAGGCAGCAGGGCGGCTGCCAGCCTGACCCTGCCATGCCCGGTCCCCACTGACAGAAGGAAGAAAATGTCCCATGTCTACAAAAGCAGCAAGCACGCTGGCTCCTTAAACACCTCTGTTTGAGCATTTCTACTTTTTTTTTAAATCAAGGATAAGGAGAGTATTTTTAATAAAAAGTGTTTGCCACCCAAGCTTTTCCCACAGTACATTGGCGAAGTGGCCTAAGGTGGTTGTGGCAGGACTGGCCGGCGCATTTACCGTTTTATTGAAAAAGGCTCAGCAGAAATGGCCGGTTGTAGGGTTTTGATTGACCTGTTAATTGCTATCATTCTGCTCCTGCTGGGGGAAAAAAAAACATCATTTGGTTACGGAAAGATCCGTTACCCAGACTGTCTTGTTTCACAGGAAGAAACCTGTTAACACCTTGGGTAAACTTCAGTTCTGTGCAGTTTATACCGGGATTCGATGACATTCGGCTTCATGGGAAAGTTGCCCTGCAGATTTGCAGCGGCGTGGCTGGGAATGCTAAGCAGGGCTGGCGTGCATCTCAAATGTGGCCTTGTTTGTGCCGAATTGGTGATGAGAGGCCAGTTCGTTGAAAGGCAGATATTTAGCATGTTTGTGGGGAGCAATGCCAGGAGTTACCCTGGCAACAAAACGAATAGGTTTTTTCCTCTTAAATTAGCATATACCTTGAAATGCAGCCATGACAACTTAATTGCAACTTATAAATTAATGGCAGATGAACAGCTAATCTCATGCTGAGTTTATCTGATAGCCAGGCTGTGCATTTTATGTGCATTTTCCCCCTTAATCTTCACTACGGCCTGAAGAACTTGGTCCAGTGACTGTACTCATCTTACAGATTAGAAAACTGAGGCTTAGAGAGGTTAACTAATTTATTTAATTAAGGTTGGTGATCTGAGACAGCAAAAAGAGACTATTCCTCATACTCAATACCATACATTATTAATGTGATAGATTTCAAACCATTAGCGGTTACATGGACTTTGATCATTAATTGAATTTAGTAAACGTTTGCTCGCAACATCCCTTGCTACCAAAGGGCAGCATCGTCTCTGTTCGTGTTCCTCCGCCTAAAGAAGATGCGATCACATTTCCTCTTAGTAATAAGGAAAAGAGGCCTGATCACGATTCTGTCTGTGGTTTATTTTCTTTTATTTCGGATCAGATGATGGCATTTAACCTCGCTGACACACTCCAGGCAGCAGAGATTCTCTCAAATCGTGCAGCTTGGAGCGTACGTAGTCCCAGGCCCATTGTAACCGTTGAGTAAATATCTTTTTAATTGAGTGTAATTGAACCCTCTTAAAGAAAGGCACTTTAAAATTAAATATAAGGGAAAAGTAGGGTTCCAAATAAGATTACTGATCTGCATGATTGGATTCTGCCACAGGGGCTCTGCTCTTTGCAAATTACATGGCGGATGAGGCTTTGCGGTCTTCCTGGGATGTCTGGAAGGGGTCTGCAGCCTCGTGAGCTGTTGGTGAAGACCAGACGACAGTTGTTTGTAGATCTTCGGAATGTGCGGTTGGCACAGAGGTTTACCATCTCCACGGCCTCCTGTGTGTTACGTAATAACCTCTCTGAGCTGCAGTTCCCGCCCTGATCAAACAGTGGTGCTCATGGCTCTCTCGTGTTTCGTTGACGATTAAACAAGATTTCGTGTGTGACGTACAAAGCACCCAGCTATGTAAAGGTTTAATACATGTTGGCTGTTGTTTTTAACAAACAAATGCCCACAAATAATACCAATTTGTATCCTTTTGTAATTTCAACTAGGACCAAATGTAGAAACAGAAGTCAGCTACAGGAGGCCCTTTGGCAGGACAGAGAGATCCGTTTCTCCGGACTTATCCGTGGGTCAGATGACTGTTGGTCTGTCGAGTTGCTCTCGGAATATACCACCACAGCCTGGAGCACATTCTTGTGAAGATCCCTAAATACTCACCCTTTGAGAGTAGATTTGATTTTTGTAGACAGAAGTCATTTGGAGCCAAAGCTAGGCATTGCATTACGTTTTCAAGCTAAATCGTACAGGTTTTATTTTAAAAATTAGGCATTAGCTTTTATGAAATGGAATTTGTATCTTGTTATTCAATTTCCCAAAGAGACCTTCATTCAGTTATGTTAAGTACTGGCCTGTTTACTTTTTAAAAAAAGATCCTCTCAAAAATATGAATATCTCAAAAATATTAACTACTGGTTTGTTTGTCTGATGCCCTTAAGAGTTCTGTTTTTAATAAAATACTTTAAGAAAAACAAACAGCCACATGCAGCGCGGTATCCGTGATTGGATCCTGGAACAGAAAAAGGACATTAGTGGAAAAATGAGTGAAATCCAAATAAAGTATGGAATCCAGCTAATGGCAACATGCCGCGCCGGTTTCTCAGTTTTGACCACGCGCCGCGGCGATGCGCCACGTCAGCCTCGTAGGAAGTGGGTCAGGAGTGTACAGGAACTCTGTCTTATCTTGGTACCTTTTCTGCAAATCTGAAACTATCCCAGAATGAAAAGTTTATTTAAGAAAAAAATGAATTACTAGGTAAAATGAGAGAAAAAAAGGCAGCCCACCGTCACGTGTTGGTGTAGTTTCATCAGCTGTGACAACTGTCCCACTCTGGTGGGACAGTTTAATTAAAGCAAAGTCTTTAATTAAAAAAAAAAAACCCACAGCATTAGCTTCCTTGCCAGTGGGTGTCGATTCGCGTGTCGGTGAGTGCGGTGTCTTATCTGAGAGCCCAACTAAAGGAGTCTTTTTCTGCCCCTCCCTTCCGTTTTGCAGCATCGACAAGATATCTAAGGTCACCTCTCCTGTGCTGGTCATTCACGGAACGGAGGACGAGGTCATCGACTTCTCCCACGGCCTCGCGATGTACGAGCGCTGTCCCCGCGCGGTGGAGCCCCTCTGGGTGGAAGGGGCCGGGCACAACGACATAGAGCTTTATGCACAATACCTAGAGAGACTAAAACAGTTCATATCTCACGAACTCCCCAATTCCTGAAGACGACAACTTGATTTTACCTCATTTACTGTGAACGGAAGCGTCCTCTGGTTTGCACACGCTTTAACTGGGTACTGCGACGGCTCCGCAGCCACGAAGAGGCGCCCAGCCTTTCGGGTGTTCTCATCAAAGAGCTGATGAAGTCTCTGTCTTTTTTATCGAGAGATTGTTCTACTAATTCACACAACGTGTTAAACTGGACGGTCGTGACTCCCGGCTTCGCCGCCTTGCAGGGGTGGGGCTGAGAGCCGAACGTGGGGCGGGTTTCTCGTGCCGTCCGGGGTTTGCCCGTCTCTTCCGTCCTGACTCAGTACGCGGGACTCGCCCCCGTCTCCACCGGGGTTCTCGGAGTTGGACGGGCAGCTCTTTGGGCCACCGGATTCGTGGGTTCAGTCCATTCGTGCCGCTGTGATAGTGTAACTGGAAAACCATTGTGGTGAGACTTTTTAAATTAATTTTCGTTACCATGCCAACCTTTCCCCAGACACACGAACTGAAGGGTAATCGACTGGATCTGTCATGAACAGCTTCATCAACTGTAACCACATAAATATAACTGGAATATTCTTAAACAAAAGAAAACTAGGGGCTTTTTTAAGTGTAAATTTGTTACTAGCCAACAGAGTTTTAATATTTTGACTGGTTGGTTTGACAAAGAGCCTAGCCGACTCACCTTCTCCGAAACCCTCCCAGCGGGCTTTTTTAAAGAACTGTACATATTCGCGATCACCTTGTGCGTAGATTCCTAATGGGCAGTTTCCTTTTGTCGGCTACAACGATGAACTGCAGACTCCTTGTTTGTATGTAAATGATCGAACACATTTTGTTAATATGTTTTTATTCCTAGGTTTTGCTATTAAGAAATTTTATAACATTTCCAAGACAAAAATTCCAAGTTTATGCTTTGAAGAATTTATGTAATTAAAATTTCACTAAGCTAATCTTTTTAGTTTAGGGGTCATTTGGGTTTTGACACTGGAGTTGGGCCGAACAAGCATCGGAAATGTAAGATGCTTCACGTCGCTACGCTGCGTGTATTGGTTGGGGGTTTGGGTTTGGGCTTTCTTTGGTTTTACTTTAATTTTGTTTTCCAATTTAAAAGCCTTAAATGTACTGTAAGCCTCGGATTGCTGTGCAGCTGGATTGCGGTCGGCTGCGGTGTGCACGCTGCTCAGGTGAGCACGGTGGCTGGTGATAGAATAAAGGATGCATGGATCAGAGCGTGGGCTGCAGTTCTTCCTGTCTCCGTCGGAGAAAATGGGGAGTAAGGGGACCGTTTTTGTCTTACTTTAAGAAGAAACCCTTGGGCACTGCCTCTCACGGTGCCTGCTTTCCTTCTGTGAAAGACCTCACACTACTTTTGGAAGAAGCCAAGGTATGAAGCGTACAGCAGTGAAGTGCAGATGGTACCTGAGCAGCACGCAGTGGATTCTGGCTGCAAAGCAAAGAGATGCAGGCAGTGCCCCTGGAACCCGGCTGGGAGGGAGCACGGTGCCGGTGTCTGGGAGCCCGAGTCGGGTGTGTCCTGTAGTCCTTTCTGCCCTTTGACCGCCTGACGAGAAGGACAACCAGGGATGCTGGTTTCAACTGTTTCAACACTCTCCTGAGCGTGCAGTGAGGGGAAAGGTGGTAGCGGGGAGGCTGTGAGGGCCCAGCAGTGTGCACCTGTGAGTGTGTGCACCCCTGCGTGTGCAGGCTACTTCCCGACCTTGAATCAGGTGAGTGGGTGGGGCTCACGAGGCGGGAAAGAAGCACCATCTCGTCCTGCCTTCGGGGCCAGAGGGCAGGCGTGAGGCTGCCAAAGACCTGATTTCCGATCCTGTCTGCTGCTTGCACCGGCTGTACCCACTTCTGTGTTTCCTCCCAAGCTGTTTAGTAAATTCCCTTTTGTCTGCCACCTTTCAGCAGTGCTCACAGGAAACAATAGGATTGGCAACAACAGAGACTAAGGTGGCAAAGCCCTTTCACTTCATTGGTTTTGTAACCAGTGAGGACAGTTCATATCCCTTTGAAGAAGTGCGTGCATTCCCAAAACTGAGGAGGGGGTTTGTTCACCTTTTGCCAGAGTTTGCCACGGGCACAGCGTAGGGCGGCCCGTGTAGAACAGTGGGATCCCGGGGCGAGAACCTCAGGGGACTCCCGAGGGTCAGGCGCCCTGCGCCGCAGGCTCTGTGTGGAGCTGCGCCCCATTCGGACCTGGGACAGAACCCCCGGTGTTGGGGGTCACTTACTGTTTCTTTCTCCCTAGTCAAGAGGGAGGAGTCAAGTGGCTACCTGAAATCCTTCAGAGTATAGAGAAGATGTCATGTATTATTTCTAATATATGAATTCGTGCTTTATGCTTATAAAAATCCCCTTGTGACTTATTAAAGGCCTAGACATAACATTCAGAGCAAGGTATTGTGACCACCTCACCATCGACGGTGCTGGTTAGGACGCTGCATGACCTGCAGTTGAGCAGAGTCAGACACATTGTGATCAGTCGTCATAATCCCAGGAAAATCTCAGATCCTAATTTAAATCCTCGCTGCTGTGTCCTTTGAAAACCGGAGAATAGAATGATTGTTACTGTCTCACAATAGAAAAAGCGTCTTCTGTTGAAAATAAAACCTGTGAGCAGCCTGCTCAAGGTGGAATTTGAAAGGTGAGACTCCGGAGGCTTGAACGGGCCGAGGAACCGTCAGGCGGCTCCTTCTGGGAATAATCCCCGAATCCCGACGTGTGGAGGAGGAACCCAGAGCCCACAGTCCACAGACGTCTGAGCCGCGGGGAATGATCACAATGTATCGAATCTGCCCAGAACAGGACAGGGTGTGTTGTCTTCATCTGAGGGACCCTGGGTTCAAGGTGAACATGGAATGCCCCCTTTCCCAGTGCTGGCTCCTGTGGAGGTCACCTGCCAACCTCTGCTCCTCCTGGGAACCAGGACTCAGAAGCGCACACGCGTGTGAGGGTGTCTTCTCCAGCCCGGCTGAGCCTGTAGGGAGAGGGGGCTGGGGCCATGTCTGATCTGGTCTTTGTATCCTCACTGGGTGATTTTGACCTTGTTCCCTAATTTCTCTGCTCCTCTGGTACCTGTTTCCCTTACTCACCTCCCTTAGGGAGTATAAGCGTTCAGTGAGATACGGCTGTGCAAATACTCTCCATTTCCTGCGGCGCATCGTGTTGCTGGCAGCAGAGCTACCGATCAAGGTGGAGTTCTCAAAAGACAATAGACCAGTAACATTTGAAGAACTGAAAATTTTAAAAAACCCAAATTGTCTTCAAAAAGGTATACTACACCCAGTTTTCTGACAGGTGTTTTTCAGGAAGGGATGTTGGATTTTATTGAATGCTTTTTCAGCTTCAGTTGAAATGATCGTATGGTTTTTGTCCTACGTCTGTGGATATAATACGATGTATCACATCGATTGATTGTTTTGCATACCCTGAACCATCCTTGCATCCCTGGGGTGAATCCCACTGACCATGACGAATAATCTTTTTAATGTGTTGTTGAATTTGGTTTCCTAGTATTTGGTTGAGGATTTTTGCATCTCTGTTCATCAGAGAGATTAGCCTGTGGTTTTCTTTTTTGTTGTTGTGTCTTTGGTTTTGGTATCAGGGTGACACAGGCCTCAGAGAATGAGTTTGGGGGGATTCCCTCCTCCTTGATTTTTGGAATAGTTTAGGATTGGCATTCGTTCTTCTTTCAGTGCTTGGTAGGATTCAGCAGTGAAGCCGTCGGGTCCTGGGCTTTTCTTTGATGGGAGACTTCTCATTACTGCTTCTGTCTCGTTACTTGTTATTGGTTTATTCGGGTTTGGGATTTCTCCCTGGTTCAATCTTGGTAGGTTGTGTGCATCTAGGAATTTGCCCATTTCTTGTAGGTTCTCCAATTTATTGGCGTATAGTTGCTCATAGCAGTCTCTAATGATCCTTTGGATTTCTGCAGTATCAGCTGTGATGTCTCCTTTCTCATCTCTGATTTTATTTATTTGGGTCTTTGTTTTTCTTAGTCTGGCTAAAGGTGTGTCAATTTTGTTTATCTTTTCAAAACACAAATTTTCGTTTTGTTGATCTTTTGTATTTTTTGTTTCATTTTCATTTATTTCTGCTCTGATCTTTATTATTTCTTTTCTCCTACTAATTTTGGGTTTGGTTTGCTCTTGTTTTTCTGGTTCTTTGAGATGTATGATTAGGTTGTTTATTTGAAGCTTTTCTACTTTTTTAATGTAGGCACTTATGGCTATAAACTCTCCTCTTATTACTGCTTTTGCTGTATCCCACAGGTTTTGTATGTTGTGTTTTCATTTTCATGTTTCAAGAAAGTTTTTAATTTCCTTCTTAATCTCCTCATTGACACACTGGTCATTCAAGAGCATATTGTTTAACTTCTGTGTGTTTGTATATTTTCCAATATTTCTCCTGTTATTGATTTCTAGTTCTATTCCATTGTGGTCACAGAAAACACTTGGTATGATTTCAGTGTTTTTGGATTTTTTAAAACTTGTTTTGTGGCCTAACACATGGTCTGTCCTTGAGAATGATCCATGAGCTGAGGAGAAGAATGTGTTCTGCAGCTGTTGGATAGAATGTTCCGTAAATACCTATTAGGTCCATTTGGTCTATAGTGCAGATTAAGTACAGTGTTTCTTTGTTGATTTTCTGCCTGGGAGATCTGTCCAATGCTGAAAGTGGAGTGTTGCAATTTCCAAGATTATTGTATTGGGGTCTGTCTCTCTCTTTAGCCCTGATAATATTTGTTTTATATATCTGAGTTTTCCAGTGTCGGGTGCATAAATATTTAGAATTGTTATGTCCTCTTGCTGAATTGACCCCTTTATCATTATATAATGACCTTCTTTGTCTCTTCTTATAGTTCTTGTGTTGAAATCTGTTTTATCTCATAGAAGTATAGCTACTCCTGCTCTTTTTTGGTTTCCATTTGCATGGAATATTTCTTTCATCCCTTTATTTTCAGTCTGTGTGTGTCTTTATAGGTGAAACAGGTTTCTTGCAGACAACATATAGTTGGCTCTTGGGTTTTTATCCATTCAGCCACTCTCTGTCTTTCGATTCGCACTCAATGTTTTTATCAATAGGTGAGGACTCACTGCTACCATGTTGTTATTTGATTTCTGGTTGTTTTGTGGTCCTCTCTTTCTTTTTTACTTCCTTCCTGTCTTCCTTTGTTAAAAGTGATTTTCTCTGGTAGTGTGTTTTAATTTCTTGCTTTTTATTTTTTGTGCATCTGTTGTAGGTGTTTGATTTGAGGTAACCATGAGGCTTGCAAAAAAACATTTTATAACCAATTATTCTAAACATATGACAACTCTGCTTACAAACAAACATGCAAAGAGAAATCTAACAGAAATTCTACCCTTTAATTCCGTCCCCCCAACTTGTCAACTTTCTGTTGTTTCCATCCATATCTCTTTACGCTATCTGTCTCTCAAAAGGTTGTTGTAGTTCTTTTTGGTGGGTTCGTCTCTTAGTCTTCCTATTGAAGATGTAAGTGGTTTATACACCACAATGACAGCAATGAGTGTTCTGTATTTGTGTGCTTATTGTCACCAGTGAGTTGTGTACCTTGATTTGTTCATTACCATCCTTTTCTCTCAGATTGAAGAACTCTCTTTAGCATTTCTTGTAGGACAGGTCTGGTGCTGATGAAATCCCTCGGCTTTTGTTTGTCCTCCTTCATGTTTGGAGGATGTTTTTGCAGGATGTAATATTCCAGGGTTAAGGGTTTATTGCTTCAACACTTTGAATGTGTCAGTCCTCTCTCTCCTGTATGGTTTCCACTGAGAAGTCTGTGGCCAGATGTATTGGAGCTCCTTCCTATGTTATTCTTTTCTCTTAGAACCTTTTCTTTATCCATGTCCTTTGTGATCTTATTATTATAAATGCCTTGACGTAGTCTTGTTTGGATTAAATCTGCTTGGTATTCTCTGGCCGCCTTGTATCTGAATATCGATATTTTTCACTAGGTTTGGAAAGTTCTCTGTTACTATTTCTTTGAATAAATTTTCTACCCCAATCTCTCTCTCTGCCTCCTATTTAAGGCCAATAAGTCTTAGATGTGCCCTTTTGCAGCTGTTTTCTAGATCTTTCAGGCATGCTTCATTCTTTTTTATTTTCTCCCCTTCTGACTGTATTTTCAAAAAGCCTGTCTTCAAGCTCACTAATTCTTTCTTCTGTTTGAGCACTTCTGCTGTTGAGAGATTCTGATGCATTT